AAAAGCTGCTTAAAATACAATTTTCAATATTTTCAATCACATTTAACAAATATGCAATAAAGAGTTGCTATGCCTTCCTAAGCTCAGTTGTGTAATATAAGGATATATATATATAATTAACAAACTGTATATAAATGATCAAAATTGTCAATTGCAGTTTTTAAGACCTACTACAAATTATGTCGTACAAGTCAGTGAGTCATCCTGCCTGCATTACACTTCATGCTTCCTAAAATACAAAAGCCAGCATCAGATGGAATAAAGCTCTCCAGACAAGACTCCAGGTCTAGCTACAACTGCTACAGCATCAAGGTGCAGAACTTTAAGCTAGAGAGGCATACACAGTTCTTCACAAAAGGAGGAAGTCATATAGAGGCCAGTGCTTCTAAAAATTGTTGATAATCTAAATTCTTGATGTTTTAATGTAAGAATTTTGGAGAAAGTTTAACTCTTATAGAACTATAAATCAGATTGATTAATATCAGGTAATGTTTTTGACAGCAAATTAAAAAACAGGGCAGCTTTTCCTGTAGCTTACAGATCAAATTATACAACGTGGAGTTAAAGTCAAGAATGCAGAGAAAACAGCATTCTGGAGGACCATCACTGCCTACCACAACCAGCCTAACAGTTCATGTCAATTTTTCTTATATTGAAAGACTTAATGTGGCAAGAAGCATTTGGAGATTGCCAAAACCAAAATGAATGCTTCTTTCAAGCAATGATAATTATTTTATTAGGCAGATTACTGTGCAACTATTCATAAAGACCATCACCACTGCACAAGATATAGGGACAACGAAGTAACAAACATGAGAGAAGGCTAAAGTTATTTGCATTAAAGATTTAGACATGCCATAAAGAAATTTAATTTCATACAAGTCTGAAAATGTAGATGTTACAAAAAGGCTCAATGACTTCTAGGAGAGAAATTTTTGCAACAGCACTAGAAAGTTGAAGTGTATTGATGCACAAAATTTGCTAATTACATTCATATTTGAAGACAAGTTATATTTTGGGAGAGCAAATTAACAGCTAATTCCCTCACAAATTCTGACATGTCTAAACTAGGTAAGGAATCCAACCAGCATCTAACTCAGGGTAAATGTGACTGGATGTCACTTTTAAGAAGAAATATTGGCTCCTTGGTTCAAAGCAAGATTACAGCAAAACTTCAGAATAGAGAATAAAACCTTCCAACTTATTAGATATTAAAAATCTGAAGCTTTTAGAGATTCCAGACCTAGATTTTCAAAAATTTATTGTTCTAGATTTTCTGAGATATAAAATGACAGCACAGATTTGAAACTAAATTGTAAAAGAAAAACAAAAACAAAGCCAACAACAACAAAAAAAAAAAAAAACCCAAAAACCCACCAACAAAACAAGGGGAAGGAGAGTGTGCAAAGAAAAATATGTTCATAACTTATTGCAGAAAATTTCAGTCTAACCCTTAGAAGTTTGAAATTATTTATAGACCTAACAGAAACATTCTAGATATCAAAACCAGGCTACACTCGTATGTGAGCATGTACGTGACCTGAAATGGTAACAAAAAGTTTTTTAAAAATAGAGAAATGAAAACTAGATTCATGCCTAAAAATCAGTATGAATTATTCAACTGTAGAAAAAAAAAACCACCAACAAAAACTTAATAAATCTGGAACCATTAATGCTATGGGTAAAGAGTACTTTTTCTGCTTCAGGAAGAAAATAAATCTAGGAAAAATAATGGAAGCCTGATACAGCAACAACATATAAGGATGGTAATATAATGTACCCAAGTCAAAATTGTTTTATGGGGAAAAAGTTGTATCAGTATGATTTGATTTTGTTTGCATGATTAGAATTGCACAGGATGAAGCTGAAGGTTGTAGTGTGCATTTTTAAGAGTAAGAATTTATACGATAACGTGATTACAAACCAGTAACTCCAATAATTATTAAACTAAATTGTGAAATGACTAGTGGCAGAAGCTGTCAAAAGAAACTATGACAAAACAGACAGCTTGTAAGAATGAGTAAAATTTGCTACAGCTTGAAATTTGAATAAACAAACTGAAAATACACAAATTTATAGTAACCTCAGTGAATAACAAAAGCTGACAAAATACAAAGTGAGGATTTCAGGACAGTCACACCAGCACCCTCTTACAAAGGGGTGTTCAAGCAATATGTATTTAATACAGTGAATACAACAGTCTGGTATGTGCATGCAGAACAGGGGAAACAAAGACAGGAGACCTAGAACACAGTGATGGACTTTAGGCTCTCACAGTGAGGTAACAGCACAGTACACAACCCCTGGAAAAAAAACCTGTTACTGTTGTAGCTCCCTAAAGGGAAATGACTCAAGAAACTAACTTAGGGCTTTCAAGTAATACCTACATGTTGTTTCTTCAGTGACTATATAAAGATGCACAGGACAATAATCTACACTGCCAAGCAGCAGAACACCTTAGGAACAAACAACTCTCTCTCATCTTAGTCTTCCAAAAGAGAGATTATCAATAAACCATAACCATCATTGTACCACTAATGGACCTGCCTCTTTCACTTATAAAATTATACAGAACATGGCTACATTGTAGCAAATATGCTGAAGATTTCCAAGTATTTGTGTAAAAGTGGATGAGGAGAATGCCAAACCAATGGAGAAAGACAAAACAGAACTTTGAATCATTAATTCAGAATCACAATGCCTTAGGACCTGTCCCTGAAAGTATTGGCTTCCATGAGAAATCAGAGCCCAGTGTGCTAAAATTCGCTAAAATCAGCTGCTAAATTCTTCATCTGTCCTGTTTTTTGCCAAGCCATCTATCAGCATCAGTAACCTATTAGTGTGTGATAAAACAGCAGGTAACAATCACATCAGAAGGCCATTTCAATCCTCGTGACCAGGTGTACAAAAATCAGGTATGCCTTGAACCTTAGGGTTACAGACACCATGCACTGACACAGCAATTTTCTCCAAAAATTCAACAGAGTGACTACCTATATATTGTTCTCTTCAGAAGTCTCTATAAAGATGAAAAGCAATGGTTATAAGTTAAACTATTTTATTCTTGCATGTTAAAGATAACAATAAAATCTGAAAATAAAAATGCAGAAATAACACAAAAAAGAAAATCCAGTAATATCAACAAGACTCATTAATTAGATCTATTTTCAGACTTTTAATAACCACAATAACTTAAAATATGAAGAGATCTTTTTATGAGGTATGAAATTTAGAAATTATGCTGCACCTTTTACGAAATTGCTGCAAACTCTTAGTAAATACTACATGGATCAGCATTTACTGGGACACAGTTCCAGTACATGTGAAGCTCATTAATGCTCTGTTGTGCTATATTGACCCAGGCCCTCTGTAATGCCTCAGCAAAAGCGAAGGGTGGAAGGAAAGTTTACCAGCATAGTGAACTTACCTCTATACCGGAAACTCTCTTCAGCACATTCCTTGAGGAGTCTTCTTTCCTCCTCTGTTGGAACATAAGGCTTTGGTACTTCCCTCTTTCATTCGGAAAAGAAATTAGAAAAGAATGGACAAAACAGTTAGGGGGCATTTTTCAATCAATAAACTTAATGTCTAACTTTCACACCTTGTAGTTTCTACACTTTCACCCAGTTGTACTTAAGAAACCAGTGCCTTCTGTCCATAAATATTACATGAAATACATAATTAAAAAAAAAAAAAATCCAGTGCTTCTAAAAATTACAGGAGAGAGCAGGAAATACTTTGTGCATAGTCAGATCCCAACTTAGGTCAGTGTTTTTACTTCAGAGAAGCCTGCTTTGGTCCCTCTAACCAGCCTTCCAAATAGCTGACATCTGACAGATCAAAGTATTCCTCAGGGTTTCAAAGACAACAGGTTGTGTTGTTGGTTCATACAGATGCAATTCAGTGAGAGCTGACCCACTGTTTCACCAGTGTGTGGGAGGTTTGTGCGGAGGTGCTGACCCTGTCCCGCTGGGCACACTGCCGGCCAGGAGAAGCACAGCGGTGAGAAAGCCATCGGCACCAGGGGAACAGAGAGTTGCAGAATCAGTTGGGTTGGAAAAGACTTTTGAGGTCATCTAGGACTGAACACCACTTTTCCAGCTGAACAGTAGCACTAAGTGCCATGTCCAGTCTTTCCTAAAACACCACTAGGGATGGTGACTCCAGAACCTACCTGAGCAGTCCATTCCAAATCTAACGACCCTGTGAAGAAATTCCTTCTAATGTCTAATCTAAATCTTCCCTAGCACAGCTTAATGCTCTTGTCCCATCGCTGGTAGCCTGGGAGAAGAGGCTGATCCCCACCTGGTTACAACCTTTCAGCCAGTTGTAGACAGTGATAAGATCTCCCTGAGCCTCCTTTTCTGCAGGATAAACAACCCCAGCTCCCACAGCCACTCCTCATAACACTTGTACACCAGACCCCTCACGAGGTTGCCCTTCTCTGGACATGCTCCAGCACTTCAGCGCCCTTCCTGAACTGAGTGGCCCAAATCTGAACGCAATACTTGAGGTATGGCCTCACCAGTGCCGAGTAGGGGGGGATAGTGACTTCCCTGCTCCTGCAGGCCACACTATTCCTGATACAGGCCAAGATGCCACCTCGATGTCTCACGGTCAGACACGAACACCTCCTTACCTCCTGCCAGCATCCCCTACCCGGCCCCCAAGAGGCTCAAGGGCACCGGCCCCGCGTGGAGCTCAGGGCAGGGGCGGCCGAGCGGCTGACAGGAATCCCCTTTCCCCGGCCCGAGCCCTCCGCCTCGCCCGCCCAGCCCCGCCAGGATTCCCCGCGGAGCGAGCCGACCCAGCGCAGTTACCTCGGCCGCGTCGCCGCCGGGGCCGGGCCCGGGGCCCTGCCCGGCCTCCATGGCCGCCGTGACCCGGAAGTGCGCGCGGCGCACGCCGGGCGCGGTGCGCGTGCGCGGGTGCCGCGGGGCGGGCGGCGGCGGCGGCGCTGGTTCGGTCCGGCGGCACCGCCGGTGCGGGGCACGGGCCGCGCTCTCGCCAAGGGCGGCCCAAAGCTTCTGCCTGTCCCTGCCGGCTCCAGCTGCCGGTACGTGACCCCCAGGATTGCTACCCGCTTCCTAAAGACGCCTGGCCAGAATTGCCTAGAAGGAAAGCATCTCTGTTGCCTAAAAAAAGAGGTTTTCTGGGTGAGGACTAAGTGATGGTCTGCTAGGCAACTCTTGAGCTCGAGAGCAGTATAAATTTGGATTGTCATGGGGTGGAAGACTAGGGAGTTGTGTGCTTGATTCTAGTTAATGCCGTGGCAGCTCTAGCGGGTGCTTGCAGTTTTTGAGAAATAAGGAGAAGTTGAGGGGGAAAAGAAAGGTTTTGATAGTGCAAGGTACGCCTTGGCATTTTCTTGTAAACAAGCAGTACTGTGGCTTGAGCTTGCCATATGCTGATATGCCCATACTTGCCTGTGGAATGTACCACTCCCTGTAAGCCTTTCGCAGAGCAAGCCATTGTCTCTTTACCCCAGAATTTGGTTTAAATTGCAGCTTTCTGATGGCTGTACATAAAGGGTCCATGCCTGAAGATAGGAGAAGGAAGGTCTTTGAGATTTAAGGTCTGAAATTGGTAGAGAACTATAAAAGTAACACTGTGAACATGTGAAGGGCATAGGGCAAATAGACTAATGAAAGCTATAGAGGAGATTGGATTCTTGAAACAAGATAGGTGAATAGAACCAGAAACTATGTATACTGGCGTTTTTTTATTCATACCTCTCATCATACAATAAATATATTTTAAATTTATTTTTGTGGGGTTGGACATGCTTGAGCTGCTGATGACTCTGAGCTGCTGTTTTGCTTCTCTATTGTAAGATTGATAGTTATCCATTCAGTTTTCTCACTTTACTGTCTTCAAGACTCTTAGACTTCTAATGGGGAAAAAAAATTAAAATCATGCAGCAGACTGGTGAGTTTACCATCCATTCAAAAATCTTACCTAGTACAGCCTACTTGTGAGATACTTTAAGGTTTCACCTGGCAACATACATACATTTGCTGTCTTAGAACTTCAGTTGTAGGGCCATATATGAAATAGATCGTAGGGCATATCTACATCCTTGGCACTTTATTCTCTGTACTCAAGACCTGTTTTTGGAGTTCATTCATTGAAATAAATGTTAACAAGGACACCCTTTCTGACCTTCTGGTCTTTTTTTACAACTTCCTTTATAATCATACTGTCTTTCATGTAACTATGAGAACTTCAGTTTACAATTGGTGATTCCTTCTGATAAACATGAAATGTTGTTCTCTTGCAAGGCTTAAGGCTAGATATTTAACCCCTCTCTTGAATACTGTTTTCTCTCGTTTCTGCTTTAACAGGTGCCATTATGCAATATGCCAATTTTTGTTTACAAATCTATGCACTAGAGTATTTTTTAAGGTAAAAACTCTCAGGGATCTTGAACTGTTTAACAACAGGCACAATGGTGGTTTGATACTTCAGCAGATGTTTTATAGTTGCTGTTGTGTGCTGTTTTAAACAAAAAAATAATAGATTATTTGTAATAGCATAAAGTTATATATTTTTGGGCCACTTTATGAGTCAAAATTACTTTTAGAAGTATTACAACTCATGTATCTATGTCTCTAAACTTTGTCTCTTTTATGACTTAGTATTATGCAAGAATGAAGAATATACTTGAGATTCAAAATACTGTAATAAAAAACTTCATAGTTAACCTTTAGAAATTGGAACTTATTTCTTGTGAAGGAGATGCCTCAAAAGAAAAATGAAAACTTTCAAATTATGAGATTCTCTTAAAACAAACTGATTACTTAGGTTACAAGTTGGAAGGTGTGAAAGTCACATGGTTTCTAATAGCAGTACTTTGCAAATCAAAGTGGTGAATATTCAGAACTCTTGAAGGTGGAACTCCAAGAATTATTAGGGTGAGCTCTGTGCAGTCTGTCAAGTGGTTTAAAAGTTTGTTTCTGCTAAATTTTTTTCATTCCCTTGTTAACAGTCAGTGACAGGTTTTATATAACTCCATTGCAAAACAAAGAGGTGGCCTAACAAATAAGTTTTACAATACTGTATAAGACATAACTAAAACTATTAGATATATGAAATAGTTGTAGTAAACGCTGATCTGGTAAGGAAACTCTCTAAAACAAGTACTGGAAGTGTATGTACTCAGTTACAAAGAACAATGTGAATGGTGATTTTTTTGTTACTGTTTTTTTTTGCTTGGTGCTCTGGACAAGACAGTAAAATGCAACAGCTGAGAGATTCTGGTGGCTGACAAGAGTTAACAGGACTGTATTTGGAAAAATATCTCCCTAATGAGGAAATAACAGTGCCTCTTACACCAAAAAAAAAAAAAAAAAAAAAAAAAATCATTGTTGTAACTACTGCAACTGGTGGCAAACAAAGAATCAGTTATTTGCCTGAAGCATTATGGCACATCAGCAAGAACCAAGAGTGGGTGTCTTTGAGGAGCTGATAGTCAAAGCCTCAATTAGTAAGGACTTTACCTGTATAGATAATGATTGCCATTAATATTAACTGGTACTGTAATGTATTTTGAAAATTACTTTACATGTTAGCTGATCCTTAGAGCTATTTTGTAAAGTTGGCATGTAAAGGAGCATTTGGGTTCTGAAAGTGATTGTACATCCTGTGAAGTTCAGGTGCTCAGGGTTAAATACCAGTGATCTGATTTTCATTGGTGGTGAGGTTCTGCTGCTTTTATCTCTGTTATCTGCATTTATTGGGAAGATCACTGTGGCCCTAACTCAGAATAACTTCAAAATCAGAAGCAACTTGTGACATACTTTGCTTCAATCAATTGTGTAAAGTGATGCACAGCACCAGTAGCAATGAATCCTTTTTGTCCTGTTAGGTGCTCTATCACCCACGTTTGGACTGTAGTACAAGTATAAAAAGTACTCCACAAAATTCTTAGATCTACAGGGAAGAGTTAACCTCAGCTACCAGGATATCTTTATTTTCTTCCTCTCCTGCTTTCTTTTCCTACTGGTTTCTGCAAGTTGAGGTACATCATGTGTCTTAAGGGTATGCAGCACATGGACACAAGTAGCTGAGCATGGAGGGGCTTTTACTGCAAATAAACTATAATTGTACCAAGTGTGGTACAGAACTTTGAGCTTCTAATAGAAATTTTTACAACTGTTGTGCTGGTGCATTTGTTCTTTGTACTTTTGCCTCAGTTCCGCTTTTCTTGGCAATGCTTATTATAATACAGTACTTGCTTGACAGGATTATGTTTGACAGTGGGAAAATGTTGACTTCAGGATTCTTTCTAATAATGTTTTGCAAATCTTGTGTTATTTTATCACACTTTACATATATTTATTTTTCTTTCTTTCCCCCCACCCCGTTGTTTTTTTGTTTGTTTTTTTTTTTTTTAAAGCCTGGACGCTTTGAGGCACTTTAACAAAAAATATAGTTACTTTTTAACCTGTTAAAATGTTAATGTTGGTACTGTTCTGTTAACATTGGCTCCCTGATCTTTGCATTGTTTAGAAATACATTGTTATTTCCAACCACCAGACCTGTTGTATTAGTGAAATCCTGGCTAGTCCCAGTACCGGCTCAGTTTTCCGAGGATGATAATAAGAATTATCTTACTACTCCGACTCACTGCCAGTGCATTGCGATAAACCTTGGAGCCTGGTGCCTGCGGGAACTACGTGAAATCAAAGCGAATATCCAATGGCCAGAGCAGTGCAAGTGCTTTATATGCCGAACCGGGGTGGCGGCAGCTTGCCCTGCCCTGCCCTGCCGGCTTCTGGGAGTGGGAGCCAGGCTGCTTCTGCGAGGGAAGCCCGCCGGTTCGCCTTGGAAGAGCAACGCCAGTAATTCCTGGCAAAAAAAAAAAAAAAAAAAAAAAAAAAGGCGGTATTTCAGCATTTGTGCAGCTGGCCGAGACACAAGTATTTGCCCTTATTCGCTGGGGGGAAGGGCGGATTTTCCGACCGCTTCCTACGGGTGAGAGGAGCGCGCTGACGGCAGGGGCACGGCGCGGCGGGACCTCTGCGGGGCCTCACCGCCTCTGCAGCTAGGACACTTCCTTGATGTTTCCCAGCGACGCTGCTGCGTGCCCAGAAAGCCGTTTGATTCCCAGCTACCTTGATGATACCGGCCTTCCTAACGGCAGCGATGGGTCCTGCTCTGTCCGGGGGCGCGGAGGCATCCTGGACCGCCGCCTCCCGCCGGCGCGGGGCTGCGCGGAGCCGGGGCCGGGGCCGGAGCCCTGCCCGGGCGGCCCGAGGGGAGCGGCGCCCGGAGCGCTGCGGGGGCGGGACCAGCCGCCGCCCCGGCCTATCACAGCCACGGGAAGCGGGGGGGAGTGGGGGCACCGCCAATCGGGGCTTGGCTCGCCCCTCGCTGGCTCGCGATTGGCCGCAGTGTGGAGGGGTGGTGCCTCGTGGGCGGGCCGGACGCTGAGGAGCCAACGGGGAGGGAGCGCGGGGGCGGGGCCCTGTGAGTGCCGCGCGCCTGCCCCAGTGAGCGCCGGGGCCGGGCGGGGCCGCGCGTGCCAATGGGGCGGCGGAGGGGGCGGGAGCGCTGCGCCGGGACGTCGGGGTGCTGGAGGGGACAGGCGGCGTCGGGATAAAGCCGGCGGGGGATGCCGGTGGCGCGCGTCGCTCGCTGGGTCCCACCAGGGTCGCTCTGAAGTGTTGGGGGGACCGCAGCCGCGCTGAGGTAGGCGGTGGCGCCCAGGGCGGCAGCTTCTACCGGCGGGAGAGGTGAGGCGGCGGCGCAGCCGGGATCCGGTCGTGGCTGATCGGAGAGCGGAGGAGGCGCCTTGCCCCGACGGGAAGGGAGCCCGCGGGTTCTGGTGTGCGGCCCGTGGCGCTGGCCCGGCCCCGGTCCTCGCCGCTTTGTTTACGGTGGGGAGGGGAGGGATGGGAGGGAGGACAGCGTGTGGCCGGGCGGCCCTGCCCGCCTTTGCCGCGGGGGCATGAGTAGGGTGGAGACGGAGCAGGGGTCGGCGGTGCTGCGTGCGCCCGGCCGCCCCCACCCGAACTCCGGACCTTTTGCCCCGGGGAGACGGAGACTCCTCCGATCCCCTCCGCGGCCCGCGCTCTGTCTCCTTCCTCCGCGGCCGCGGCCCCACCCGTGCGTGCCCAGCCTTCTCAGCCCGCGGCCCCCGGAGCCTCCGGGGCAGGAGCGGCTCTCGCACAGCCCCGCGGGCCGAGTGCAGCGGCGGCCGTCGCCGGGCTCCTCCCGCCCCACGCCCCCACCCGTCCGGCTGGCTCCGGCCGCCCCCCGGGACAGCGGGGCCGCGCAGCCGCCGCCGCAGGGGATGGCGGGGCTGGGAGCGGGCCAGGCCGGCCGGGAATGGCGGGACGGAACGGGGAGGGTGGCACGGAGCCGGGCTTTGTTCCCAGCCCCGCCCCGCCTGGGGGTGCCCGGGGGCTCCGGCGGAGAGAGCGCGTCCCGGCGCCTGGTGCGGAGGGCGGTGCGGGCGAGCAGCGACGCCCCCGGGGCCGCCCGTGCCGCCCTCCGCGCAGCTGGCCCGCTCCCCCGCCTGCGGGTGAAACTTGGGAGACTTGAGCGGCAAACTAGGAGACGTGTGTGCGCACAGTGTGCTGCGCCTCGCTGATGGAGTCGCTCTGAGGTGCTTTTAGGACCAAGTTTGGCTTCCGCAGTTTTTGCAGCCTCAGACAGGCGTGCTTGTATGGCTGTAAGTGTTTTAGAGGCTTGATTAGTTTTCCCCTCTCCACTTTCATGTGTATATTTCTAGTATTTTGATCATGTGATAATTTTTCTTACTTAGTAGGCAGTTCAGGTTGTGTCTTGACCAGAAATCACTGTCTGATGATCAGGGGAGCTCTAGCTAAAGCATCCCAATGATCAGAAGGAAAACATAAAAAAAACTCCCTGAAAACCCAACAAATCTAAAATATTTTGGTGGTCACTCATACTGAGGAGTTGCAAAAGCAATTTGCTAATACGGTCTTGAGGAATAGTAAGGCAATCTGGAGACGAGGCAGCAAGAGTATAACCTGGTTTTCTTTCAGAATTACAAATCTCAAATGGACATTAGGAAAGAAATATACTAAACCAGAAAACTAATTCTTTCCTCCTTTGTGCATTGCGTATCTCCATGCTGCAGACTTCATGGAGTATATAGAGTACTTTGAGAAAGGTGATTTGCTGATTGAGGGTTGAGCAAAGAGTGAAATTTTCTGTCGTTTCTTAAGAAGTATTTCCTCACGGTGTCATTTCCTCAGTAGGCTGTTTCAGTCGCTTTGCTTCTGTGTTGTTACTGTCATGCTGAGGATATGTGCCAAATACTTCAGAATCTTTGTGGAAGATCACACACCAAGTGCTGTAAAACCAAGCTGATTCTTATCTTGTGACACTGTCTCAGGAAGGAAACAAACCTCTCCGTAAAAATTGTGTTGCAGGTTTAGTAAGTCATGTATTTAAAGATGAAAACAACATTTTCAGTGTCAAAAGCTTCCTTTATCTGTGGTTTGTAGAGGTCCTTAGTGGTACTTGATGGTGGTTGTTTCCAGTGGACTTCCCTGGGTAAATTGCTGCTGTGAATGACTCCTTATTTATATTCCAAAACTGATCTGGTTAAAGTCTGTGCTGACTTCTCTGGAAGTGGTTTCCTTGGAGTAGAGTGGTGGTATGTTGCTTTGGGATGTTGTAGAGCATTGTTGCTGAGCTTCATTTCGAAAGAAAAATTGTTTAATTCTTATGTGAGATTAGTTAAGGTAAAGTTAGAAAATTCAACTGATTCTATTTCTGTTTGACTGGCCTGAGTGAACCAAAGCATGGCGATAACTGGTTTTTGTGTAATACCATAATACTTTTAAGAGGGGAAGTTTCAGGTTGTAGAGGCTAAGGCAAAAAGTAGAACTGTTCATTTTTCATGTTACTGAATTAACACTTTGCAGTCATCCTGCTAGGCTTCAACAGCTCAAGAGTGGTTTTATTTCCACTCGTGTTTATTTCACTGTGAATGCTTGTCTTTCTAATTTGGGGTGATAAAATTAATTGGTATGCTGGAAGTTCTTGCTAATACAGTTGAGATCTTGCTGTCTGTATTTACTTTTTCTAAGAACTTAAGAAGATTATAATTCCCTTCAGTGGCTATGCATCAAGGAAAACAACTTGGAAAACAGTGTGTTCTGCATGAGGCAGGAGTTGCCTATTTTATATCTAGCTTTGTATTTAAGGGGGTTTTGTCTTCACCATCTTGCCAGGTGAAGACTACTTCATTATTGCATAAAGGATCAAAGGATAAGTTTAATTTTTTTTTGTCTGAGCTCCTTAAGACATGTGAAGGCAAACTTTTCACTTCAGTGGACTTGCATAATACAGAACATGTCATGAAACAGCTCCTTGTAGCTTAGATTGCCATGATTTTTTTAGCAGTTTTTGCCTACATTTAAGCCTTAGTTGGAAAGAAGCTATAGGTATTGTGCAGATAATGTCAGAGGAAGGAGCTATGTGCACATATAGCTATGTGCACATATAGCTATGTGGGCTATGTGAATTACTGTGAGAAAAATGAGGATGATATTTCAGGGTTTGTGACCCAGTACCTGTGGTTACTGGCCTGCCTTACCATTAGAAAATACAATGTAGCTTATCCTCAGTGGAGGGGGGCCGCTGGCCTTGCTCAGAGCCTGGCTGTGGTTGCTGCTTTGTGCAGCTTCTGCATGCTCGCACCCAAACAACTTTCGGCCCTCAGGACTCCTATATCTATAATAACCCTCCCAGGAATCACAGTGAGCTGGAGAAGTGTTGCAATGTTAGAAGGTTTTAGAATTCAGCATTATTCTTGTCTGGTCTTGCTCTAAATCTTGATGAACTCCTGTAATAGATGCTAGCCAGACTGACTCAGTTAGGGTTGCTTCTGCCTTTCTGTATTCAACTAAAAGAGCAATTATTTCTGGTGTTCTTGCTTATCCTCAGTGCTCGACAGTAAATTGTGTACTGCCATATAGCTCTGTCTCTTCTAAGACTTCTGTTGTCCTCCCTTTCCTTCCTTCCCCTCCCCCAAATCTATTATAATCCTAATTCCTTCTGACATGAACACCTCCCAGGAAGAATGACTGAATACAGTCTCAAACAGCAAGTGTCCAATACCATCACTGGAAGATATCAAAAAGGAAAAAAAAAATCCCCTTCAGCTAGTTGAACAACAGTTTTTGCTCTGGACATGGCTTCAGTTTTGAGGAATTTTTGTATTTATCCCTAGTTTTTCCTAGTGATTTATGTTTACATGCAAAAATATAGGAGGAACAATTATTAAAAACAAAATCAAACTTCTAAAGTTGAGTTTGAGATTCTCTGAAATGTCTAAATATTTGACCTGGTGCAAGGACCTGGTGCCCTGACACCGTTGCTATAAGCTTTGGTTTGTTCTTTACATGGGCATTCTTGCCCTTGTCACCAGAAGCAACATGAATTGTTTTTCATGGTTAGTGACGATAGTTAAAGCTGAGCTGCGTGGAATTTGCACAGATCTTGTATAGAAGGACCTTTCTTCCATCATTCCAGCTGCTGCTTTGGCAGGTGGTCCATAGGTGTAAGAGAACTTTACTTTTCAAGAGCTGTGGCTGGCCTAGCCTGAAATAGCTGCAGACAGCTTGGGACTACTGACGTGCCACTTGAGTGGTGCAGGTGGTCACTTTGGAATTAATGTGGTGACCTATTTTCTTCTTATTCCCTGTATTCCAGAAAATGGAAGAAGACTCCTGGCTTGGACCTTTTCCTCCCCTCTCTTGTTATATTTTATTTTTAAGTGAAGTTACATGAGATAGTCATGATAATAAAACAAGATTTGTGTGTTTTGTCAGCTAACTGTTGGAAGGCTACTTCAAAACTAAGTAACTGATACTTGGGTAGTATTTGCAGTTGTATGTGAAAGCAGTTTGTCAGTGTCAGTTGCCAACATTATTTTTCATCTTAGGTAGCAATTTTTTTCTTTTTAATGTTTGTTTCCCCTTATCTTGAGTGTGTTTCTAGAGAGTAACGCTGTAATTTTGCTAAACCAGATAAACCAGACTCTCTCTTGTTCAGGTGAGACTTCTTGTTCACCTTATCATAGTAAAATGCTGTAATTGCCTCCTTCATATATTAATTAGTCTTTTTAACATGCATTGGCCAGACTTGTATAAAGTATTCCAGGGAAGGTTCCAGTGAGACTTAATGAAGGCTTTTTAATACTCTGGTGGGTGTATCTTGCTGGTAAACCTTAGGGATCCTGTTTTCTTTCCATAGGCCTGTCAAGGTTTCTCTCTTTCTTCATAAACTGCAGCTTATAACAAAAAAATATTACTGCTCAAGTATGTTACCTTAAGGGGGAAGAGAATCTGTAGGTTAAATGCAACAGTCCTTGGGCCTGCTATAGTTTGGGTCCCAGTGGGCATGATGTTAGTCATACTTGTGCAGAGAGTATTCAAGGAGCACAAAGATGCCCCAGCAGTGTGCAAGTAAGCAAGGGAGAAGAGCACAAAATAAAGCCGTGTGTGCTAAAAAGATCCTTGTGAGGTTATGGGTAAGACCTGCCTTGCCATATGCAATCCTATTTGCTCGGCCTTTCACAGACTTCCTGCTGTTGAACTTTCACTGCTGGTTTTTGTAGTAGTCTCAAGGACAATAATTGTGTATGTTTTACCAGACCCATGCAGTTAAGTTTGTTTAGAGTAACTGAATATAATGTTGGATATGTTTATAAAATAAGAGCTGGAGAGAGCATAAAAACTACAGAGATAGTTTTGTTGTACTTGATCCAGAAGATAAGGCTCTAGTAATTCAATGTGGGAGACTGTTAAAAGAGATTAATTAAATTTCTTTCAAAGTGAAGGAATAGCTGTACCATAAGGCTTGGGAATTATCTGAGAAAATGAGACCTCAGGAATTTGCATTTGAAGTTGATATTGCAAAGAGTGACTTTCTTCCTCTGTTGATGTTGTCCAATTTTGCAAAATAAAGAA